ACTAAAGCTGTCTTGAAATATCCTCTGCCAACAAAATTAGCCCATGACTTTTAAATTTAGCCTTAAGCGGTTCTTAGTGCAAGACCAAAAATAGCCATGTTCTTTGCCAAAATATCATGAGAATGGTAAGAAGCCCGGTTGCCACTATTTGTTCCCTCTGAAGCCTCTTGAGCTCGGCCTCCATAGTTCACGCTGCTCTCTCTTCTCACTACCGTCTTCCAAGCTTCACTCACAACATCCAACTGCTTTCCTCGTCCCAAGTCCCACAGTCTTCCTCATTCCCCAAACACCCCGCACGGTCAGGCCGTCACAGCAGTAGTCCACTTCCCGGTACCAACCTTACTGTAGTTACTTTTCTATTGCTGTGATAAAACACCATGACCAAAGCAACTTATAAAACAAAAACATTCATTTGGAGCTCACTGTTCCAGAGGGTTAGAGTCCATGACCATCACAGTGGGGAGTGTGGCAGCAGGCAGGCAGGCAGGCAGGCAGGCAGGCAGGGAGGCAGGTGGCACAGTGCTGGAGCCATCACTGTTGAGAAAACCACAAGACAGAGTGAGAGAACGCCAACTGGGAGTGCTGTGTGCTTTTGGAAACCTCAAAGCCCCCAGTGGCACACCTCCCACAACAAGGCCACACCTCCTAATCCGTCCCAAAGAGTTCAACCAACTGGGGACCAAGTAGGCAAATACAGGAGCCTATGGGGGCCATTCTCATTAAAATCACACTTACAAAAGGCACATCTCTTTGTATATTTGTATATTTTTAGTAATCTTATTTTCATGTGTTAGAAATTTAAAATGTACTGACTTTAGTTTCCATCAATGATAATAAATGTGTCACTGTCAGTTTTATCCAGTTGTGTGTAGACTACTGGATCTATTGATCATAATTCCTAAAAGAAGCACGTGCTCTTAGGATAACCTGCCACCGTGGTACAGATATGTTCACTAATATTCCCACTCTTTAGCCTCTGTGAGAAGAAACTATAGAAGAGCCAAATGCTACCACTAGCCCTTTGGCATCCCTCTGGTTTTTGCTAGCTCTAGGTTTAAATTATTTGTACAGATTTCTCTCATCCCTAACTGTACATTTCTTTAAAACGTATTTTTAAAATGTGCATCAGTGTTTTGCCTGCATGTATGTCTGTACACCACATGCATTGCTGGTACCCAAGAAGGCAGAATAGGTGTGAGATCCTCTCAGACTGAAGTCTAGACAGCTGGGAGCTGCCATGTGGGTGCTGGCAGTTGAACTCAGGTCCTCTGGGAGAGCAGCCAGTAGTTTTAACCACTGGGTGATTTCTCCTGCTCCTGGATGCACATCCTTGGTGATAAGAATCTTTTCTAGAGACTTTTCTCTGACGTCTTGTGCTTGAGATGTTGATAAATGAGGCATCAAGTGGCTCCGTACGATGTTTTTCTTGCTGAAAAAAAGATACAACAGTTAAGTTTAATTTGTAGTAGCCCTAAGGATGTATGTATACATACAATATACATGTACATATACATATACACACACACATACACATACATATACATATATATATATTAGTGAAAATTCTTCTTCTTTTTTTTTTTTTCCAAGACAGGGTTTCTCTGTGTAGCCCTGGCTGTCCTGGAACTCACTCTGTAGACCAGGCTGGTCTCGAACTCAGAAATCCGCCTGCCTCTGCCTCCCAAGTGCTAGGATTAAAGGTGTGCGCCACCACCGCCCAGCCCATGAAAATTCTATAAAAATATAAAGTATTTTTTAAAAAATCTATTTAAAACCTTCTGTTTTATTAACCATACTACCCAACTCATATAAAGCAAAAAAGAATGTGGTTAATTTCTTCTTTTTTTGAGACATTTGTAATACTACTGTCTTTTTAGATTTGTTTTATTCTTTGTGTATTAGTGCTTAGTCTGCACATAGGTATGTACACTGCATGCATTAGCTATCCTGTAACTAGAGTTATAGGTGGCTGTGAGCCACTGTGTGAGTGTTAGGAACCAAACCAAATCCACATGGCAGCTCATAGCTATCTGTAACTCCAAGATGTGACACACTCACACAGACATACATACAGGCAAAACACCAATCACATAAAATAAAAATAGATAAATTTAAAGAAAAGAAACAAGAATTAAATTAAATTTAGCAATATAGTCAATATAATAGTACATACAAAAATAGACAGATATGCTTCAACATATCAGCAACAGATAATAAGTTTTTCATTTAAAAGTCTGGGCAGAGCCAGATATAGTGGCACACGACTTTAATCCCAGCACTCAAGAGGCAGAGGCAGGCAGATCTCTGAGTTCAAGGCCAGCCTGGTCTACAGACTGAGCTCTAGGAAAGACAGGGCTATGCACATCTAAAAAGAATCAGTGCCTCAAAACAAGAAAAATAAACAACAAACAAAACATTCTCTTGATCTTGTGTGGCGTGCAATTTTAAACAACCATTCTTGTTCATTTGTTCAGGGCTGTGTTCTCCTTTAGCTCCGAGATCGCTCTCCTGCCAGCCCACGCCCCACCTGGCTACCTCTTCCTCTCGGCTAGCTTTGCCAGACCAGAGCTCCGAGATTGTTGGGCTCTTATTAGCTAACCTATTCCAGCCAGCCACCGGTGGCAGAGCCACCGTTACCAGCGCCCCAAGATTTTACATAGCTGTTGAGTCATCCTGTTCCAAAAACTGGTCCGAATTCCTCTTTCTCTCCCTCTGCTTCTCCTGGGACCCGGAAGTCCCACCTTTTTCCCTTCGCCCAGCAATTGACTTCTGCCTCCTTTATTGACACAATCAAGAACCAGTTAAGGAATCGATACCTCTCTCTATAATCTTGTGGCATCTTTGAAAGCTCTGTTTTCAAATGCTCCTTCTAAGTGAACAATCTAAGCAAACACCCACACTTTGTCCACTACAGGTCAATGGTATCCTTAGTAGGGTTAACTCGTTTTCTATAAAGTACACAGGTTCTGGGCCCATAACCTTTGTTAATGAAGTTAACAGATGTTAACGAAGTTACCAGACTCCCAGATCCTCCTCGGGTTTTTTTTTTTAAAGGGTCTGCCTGAGGCCCCTGGTTGGATACAGTTAATTATCAGATCGAAAGACATCCCGGACTTAATCCAGTATAAAATGCTCAAGTGCAATCAAGAGTCCAGTACACACATCTGTATCATCCTAATCAAAGGGGAAACCTGCTCGTGATCCTGGCTGTCATGTGAGATCTTGGCGATCAGGGAACTCCAACCAGAACATCTGTCTGAGTATTTGGTGCTGTCATGATCAGTGGAGGTCTAGTCCCAGTCATCCATCTGATGCCAAGAAGTCTAATTTAGCAAGAGTTCATTTGAGCAAAGACACTAATTGTGAATTTGGCAGCTCTTCGAGCCAATGGAAGTAGGCAACCCAACCCAACAGTGTGAGAAAGAAAGATTTATAGGCAGAAGGAGGAAGTCTTATTTGGACATAGTCACATGTTATACAGCCCATGAGATTGGCCATGCGTCATGAGAGATAGGCTCACACAGTTACAGTGTGCTGACAGGTTAGGTTAGACTTCACTACATACCAAAGTGGCTACAGACCAGAGTTATTGTGAAAGTCATGCTGTACCTGTGCCTGTAATATTTTGCAAAGACGACTGATATTCTATGCTTCTGATGGCTGAAGTTTTCTTTGAAAAGTGAAGATTTCAGTAAGTTCAGTTGACTTCTCTCCTATGTATTCTATATGTGTAAAACCCCATATGCACCAGAAAAATTACTGTTCTAATGATATAAGAAGTGAGACCAGGTCTAGACTATGGCTCAGAGGTTCAGATTCCTTGCTGTTCTTCCAGATGATCCATGTTTCAGTCCCAGAAACTACGTCAGGTGACTTGAAATTGTCTATAACTCTCATTCCAGAAAACCTGAAGCCTTCCTTGGGGATTCTAGGAACCTTCAAATGCATGGCACGTGCGTGTGCACACACATACACACACACACACACACACACACACATACATACATACACTAAATATAAAGATGTAAAATGAAAACAATTTGGTAATGTAAACTTCTAACATAAATTCTCATGTTATTATAACATATGTATCTCACAATATTGAAAACTATTTCAAATATATATTTGAATCTGTATTTCAAAAGTATTTCAAGCTTATGTTCATATTTATAAATTTGTTTTATTTATTATTTTTGAAATGAGGTCTCATGTTGCCTAGGCTAGATTCGAACTTGCTATAAACCTGAAGATGACCCCGAACTCCTTGATCCTTCTACCTTTACATCAGGACTGCTGGGATTACAGATGTGCACCACCGCACTCAGTTTTGCTCAGTGCTGGGAAGTGAGCCCTGGCTTTGTCCGTGCTAGGTAGGCACTGGACCGCTGAGCCACACCCCACCCAGACTTATTCTCATTGATGTATTGTCATATTAGACATCCAATGTAGACTTGAGCATGGTTGGCAAACACTCTACCACTGATTTATATTTCCAGTTTCATATTAATGTTTATTTAAGTAGGAAAAGCTACAAGAGTTAAATCAGTCTGGATCTGGAGAGATGGCTTAGCACTTAAGAATGCTGGCTATTATTCTTCCAGAGGACATGGGATTCCCCACATCCACATGGTGGCTCGCAACCATTCATCACTCCAGTTCCAAGGGATCTGGTGCCCTCTGCTGGCCTCCAAGAACACTGCATGCCATGGCACACATGCATTTAAAACACTCACAAACAAAAAAGTAAATAAATATTTAATATTTTTAAAAGAATTAACTAGTTTTAGGGGGAGAAACTTTCAAATAAGGAAAATCAACTAAGGTCTATGGCTCTAGTAATATTAGTATCATTAAAAATTTTTTTGCTTACTGTGAATGGGGCTTAAAATAATTTTCTGCTTTGTAACTCACTCCTCAGAACATTTTTGTGATAAATTTTAAAAGGAAATGAGTATTATCTGGTTTACAAGTACATCAGTCATCTTTTTTTTTAATTTAAGGGGATGACTGTTGCCATATTGGGACCCACGTTTCCAGACCTGGCAAGAAACGTGAACCGCAACATCAGTAGTCTTTCTGAAATCTTCGTGGGCCGCGCCCTCGGCTACTTGTGTGGCTCTGTGGTTGGTGGGGTGCTTTTCGACTGCATGAATCATTTTATACTTTTAGGTAAGTAAGCACTGACGTTTGTCTACAACTTGGCACTAAGTATGAAAGGTGCAGCCTTAATGCAGACTCCACAACAGAAAAGGGTGGTGTGTGGGCAACCTCCCCGGCAACTGCGCGGCTGTGCCTACTACCTTGAGGGCTGGAGGGTCTCTGTATGGAGGCCTTTGGAGGCTCATTAGTCCTCAGGCTTGTGTGTCAGAAATCCTGAGTCTATAGTTTCCACTCTCAACACTGATCAACCGCTCAGCTCTGCACATTTGCGGGCAGGGCAGGACTCCCGGGGCCAGAGAGCTCCAGATGAGCTTCTGACAGCTGGCCAGGCTCCTGTGGATTGAACGTGAAGAGGAAGGAGATGGAGGGGAACTGATATCAGCTGTGTTTTTGTCCATGTTTTCCTATCTATCAGTCATGAACCCAGACTGCTTTTCCATATCCTGGAAAAAAAATGGCAAAGTTCTCAGTATACTAACAACTGAATAGATGGATTTTCTTTATGGAATATTTAGATTCGCATTGCTACCTGTGCAAGAAAGAAAATAGTACATCGTTTGTGTGTGTGTTGGGGTGAGGGGCTGGGTCCCTGCAAATACCACGGCCAGCAGAAGAATGGTCCTTGGGAAGCAAGAAGGAAATCCAGTTCAGCATGACTTAGTTAGCTTCTATTGGTTCAAACTTCAAGAATCTGACACCAAGCAGTTTATCTTTTAGACATCTAAGCACAGTACAGTTTTGGAAAAAGAAGTTTTCTGGTAACAGTGACCTCCATCCCAATGCTAGTACAATAAAGCTTAAGGCCTTTACATCAAAACTCTTTTGCAGCCTTACAGTGGTAGCACACGCCTTTAATCCCAGCACTTGAGAGGCAGAGGCAGGTGGATCTCTGAGTTCGAGGACAACCTGGTATACAGAGTGGGTTCCAGGACAGCCAGGGCTACAGTTAGACCCTGTCTCCCAAGCCAAACCAAACAAACAAAAACCTCTTTTACAAAGTACATGTGACGTCTTCCATAAAGATGAGCTCTACAGCTTAGGGACCTGGAGGAAGATCGGGTACAGTCTTGGTCATAGCACGTGTGACATCTCTCCTAAGGACTGGTTCTATTGACTGAGAAACAATGAATGCTCAAGTTAAATGTCTAGGGACAAGAGTCTGGAATAAACTCAATAGTCTGAGGGATCTGGGGTTGACTGGGCCCTACAGATAGCACACATCACCAGACTATTAACAACATCCACCCCAGGCTTCTGGGAGGAAAGCAGGTATGCATCCTCATGTTGAAGAGGCAACCCTGCATGTTTAACTGTTTCCCTGGCGCTGATCTATGAGCCCAAAGACCTCGTGCCCTCTGAATGAAAAAGGAAATAGAAAGAAAAGGACGTGACTGCACCTAGGCATGGTGGAGGAGAAGGTCTATCATAGATAAAAGGAAGGACATAGCCAGAGGCATCTGGAAGAGTCCAGAGTGAACATGACCAGACTGAGCTGGACCATGGGAGGTGAGAGGTTGAGGGGGAAAAGGAAAAGAGGGGAACCATATACAACAGTCAAGAGGGCAAAGGTAGGAAAGGGTCAGGTAGACAAAATGCAAAAATGGCCGGATTATATAGGGAAAAGCCTCTGGGAGAAGGGCAGCCCATCCTTAGGCTAGAGAGTTCAGGGTGGAGGGCAGGATATGTCAGGTCTCTCTACATAGCCCTGGCTGTTCCATAACTTACTACATAGACCAAGTTGGCCTCAAATTCAAGAGATCCACCTGCTCTCTGCCCCCTAAATCCTACCGTTAAAGGCATGCACCACCACACCCAGTAATTATTTTATCTTCTAATCCATAATGATAATTTAGAATTTACATGGCATAACCCATTTGTATAAATTCCCTAATTATCCAGTCTTAATGTGACTTTACTTTCATTTTTGCTTTGAGCCATTGGCTTGATCCTGTGGGAATACTGTTTCTATAACTGAGGTTTTCACCCCTTCTTAGGAGCGTCAATGTTGGCTACCACAGTTGGCCTTTATCTTATTCCCTTCTGCAAGACGGCAACATTACTGATTGTCATGATGTCCGTGTTTGGTGTCTCATTTGGCGCTCTGGATACAGGTTAGTGACTTTGACTGTTATCATGGGGGAAAGTGGATAAGATTTCACTGTCACCTGCAAAGCCTTGTGACATGACAGGGTCCTACTGAGATGGTCATAGGTTCACTCATTTAAACCCACCCTTCTAGCAGCTGTGTTTTGTGCCAACCAGTTTTGAACAACTAATGGTTAAGTGAGCTAGAATATATTTCCCTGTTTGAGAGTATTGATTTGTAGTGTCCAGATGGGAAGGCACCCCTTCCCTGTGGGTAATTACAGCGTGGCTAAAGGTCTTTCATTGTGAGATAGAATTTAATCATACTAAGATAAGAAGAACCAATGGCTTATTAGAGTTAACTGAGGATGGAACCACAGTCGGGTTGTGAAAGAAACGAGACAGCTGTCTACTTAGGACATGGCCATTTTTGAGTTCAGAGAAGAATATATTCTTCCCAGGTTATCTCCATTTATGTCCTCAATGGTTTTGAGCCCTGTTGAACAATAAGCATGGTGTCTGTTTGCCTCAACTCCGGCTTTCTATCCCTCCATCCTTTCTCTGGCAGGATGAAGTTGAAGGTGAAAATATCTTAAGCTTGAAGCTTCACGTAGTTGACAATGATAGGGTGGAATTGTGTATTTGTCTGGATTTTAGAAAGAGCCACAGACCTGATGCTGTTTCCCTCCAGAGCTCTGTGGACAGTGTGAGCTTAGCTTCTAACAGACATTCTTGTTCCATTACAGGCCCTAACTGGGTGTTTTGCTCATATATAAATCATCTTTAGTGGCTGCCAACTCCAAGTACACAAAGCTACAAATTTGCAGTATATTTATTAAAGTGTGAAGATACACTTATTAAATATAAACATTTCATTTATCACACACGTAGTAACAGGTGCATGGGTCAATACTATCCCCCAGTGCAACAATTACACTATTTTGTGCAAACCTTTACAAATGTGCCATGAAGGCAGTGATCACCACGCTGTAGGTCATGTGTATGAGACACTACAATGCATAGTTCTTGGGGTTGTTTTAGAGATCTTTAACCACAGAGTCAGCTCACAGCCAGCCAAGGTCTTATAACTTACAGCATTTCTCATGTTCACACTGTGCAACGCATATTCATCTGATTTCTGATGTCAATGAAGCATTTTTGTTTATTTTTATAGGGTTCTTTATTATTTTAATTATGTGCATGTATTTGCATCTGTATGTGGGTGTGTGCACATGAGTGTGGAAGTTCAGACAGATGTTTAATTATGTGCGTGTATTTGCATCTGTATGTGGGTGTGTGCACACGAGTGTGAGTGTTCAGGCAGATGAGACATTGCTGATCCCAGTAGGAACTGGAATTAGAAGGGCTTGTGAGCCAAGAGATTTGGGTGCTGGGAACCCAAATCTGGTCTTCTGCAAGAAGAGTAAGTACTCTTAACTGCTGAGCTGACCCTATACCTCTGCCCCCTCTTTCTTGTATTTTTACTAATTTACTGTGTCTGGCAAATTATTTTCTCCGTTTCATTGGCAGGTGCAAATGTTCTCATTTTGACTCTTTGGGGGGACAAAGGAGCCCCATACATGCAGGCCTTGCACTTCAGTTTCGCCTTGGGTGCCTTTCTAGCTCCCCTGCTGGCTAAGTTGGCCTGGGGTACCACAGCATCTGCTCAGAACCACACCGAGTCCGACTTTAACTCTCTAATGCTGAACCGATCCTCCAAAGCCTCCTCAGACTCTGTGTTTGCGGTACCCGATGACATGAATCTGCTGTGGACATATGCTTCTATTGGCACCTATGTTCTAGTAGTTTCTGTCTTCCTGTTTGGTCTGTTTTGTAAGAAAAGCTCAAAGCAGAAAAAGTCCTCAGCATCTGCTCAGGGAGCTCGAAGGGCTAAATATCACTGGGCCCTGCTATGCCTCCTCTTCCTCTTTTTCTTCTTCTATGTGGGAGCCGAGGTGACCTACGGCTCTTTTGTATTCTCCTTTGCCACCACCCATGTTGGCATGGAAGAGAGTGAGGCAGCTGGCTTGAACTCCATCTTCTGGGGGACCTTTGCAGCCTGCAGGGGTCTGGCCATCTTCTTTGCGACATTCTTAAAGCCTGGAACCATGATTGTTCTGAGCAACATTGGCAGCCTGGCCTCGTCTTTATTTCTGGTGCTTTTTGACAAGAGCCATCTCTGTCTCTGGATCGCGACGTCTGTGTATGGAGCCTCCATGGCAACCACGTTTCCCAGCGGCATCTCCTGGATTGAGCAGTACACCACCTTAACTGGGAAATCTGCAGCATTCTTTGTAATTGGTGGTACCCTGGGAGAAATGGCCATCCCTGCATTGATTGGAATTCTTCAAGAACACTACCCGGATCTGCCAGTGGTTCTGTACATATGTCTGGGCTCAGCCATATTCACGGCTGTTCTATTTCCTGTGATGTATAAATTAGCCACCTTACGTCTGTAATGTGAATGAAAGGAAAACATCTCGGGGTTAGAACACTCTGCCTTTTAGATGTGGCCCATCAAGAAAAGAATGAATGGAAAGGCACAGAAGAGTACCATGGGATGGATTTTGAAGTAGATGAACAATGCAGAGAAGCAGTCTGCATCAGTTGTCTAGAAACCCAGCCTTGGTGTCCTCACCAACTACTCTCAGGACCGTTGCTTTGGATTAACGGTACTGTTCATCCTTCTGTGAAATGCTGTGTTCAGTTTTTTTATTTGTAATTGTGACCAATACTTGACAAGAAGCCAAGGAAGGGCTTATTTTGTCTCACAGTTTGAGGGTGCAGTCTATCATGGAGGGGTGAACACAGTTACAAGAGGCTCCATGTGTCAGGAGTGGGGGCTGGGACCCTCATGCCTTTGCATCTTGGTAGAACAGGATGAGAGAGAAGAACAAAAGTGTGGCCTGATGCAAAATCCTCAAGCCTTGTCCCCCGTGATGCACTTCCTCCCTACGAGCCCCACCTCCTCCTGGAGAGCCCCACCTCCTCCAGGGGAGCCCCACCTCCTCCAGAAGAGCCCCACTTTCTCCTGAGGAGCCCCACTTCCTCCAGAGGAGCCCCACTTCTTCCAGAGGAGCTCCACTTCCTCCAGGGGAGCCCCACTTCCTAAGATTCCACAATTCTCTAAAACATTGCCCCCAGCCAGGAATCAAATGTTGAAACAGATAAGCCCGTGGTGGGGTCATTTCATATTCAAGCTATAGCAAGTACCTTGTCAGAAACCAGGCCAAAAGGCTACTACTTAGAGAAGACCGAGTTCTTCCTGATTCTCTGTTCCTTGTGGAACAGAAATTGAAGGGTCAAACTCAGGCCTCCGCATGGACTAGCCCAGTACTCTACCAACCTTCAGATCTTCAGCCCCTGGTTTTCATGAGTCCACACTTCTAAATAGGCCAACCAGAGACCATCAGCAAAGTTTCAGTGGCCTCTGGGGATTTAGGTTCCAAGGTCTATGTGTAGGAAATGCTAAAATGGTTTGGATTGCAGCATGTTACATAAGTATTTCATGGTTTTGTAATCTTAATTTCTTGTGATGAGGCTCCTGTTTTGTCAGGGGTCATTAGGCAGTATTTTATTGTCCCTAACTTTCAGAGTGTGCAAAGAATTCATTCATGTTTGAAAAGCTGGGTAATATTCAAATAGATCAACCATTGAGGAAGACAATGGATTTGCTGAGCCAATGTCAGGCCATCCATACTCACCAGGAAAGTCAGACAGAATAGTTTCACGAAAGATTGGAAATGGACAGTAGTTTTCAGCTTGCTTGACTTTACTGGTCAGTGGATTAAAGAGTGTTAATGACTTATTTTTCTATATCTACAAAGAGATTATGCAACGGGTTTTAAGAGAGCTGTCTACAAGGCTTGACTCTGCCTTTTAGGCCCATCTATGCCCAGGCTCTCGATGTGGCCTTGCTTGCCTTTGCTCCTGAGTTGTGATTCTAGGAATGAGAAACTCTCCAAGATGAGATTGTCCAGTATGTCTGCTGGAGCAGCCAGCGAGTCATTGCAAATGAAAATCAAGACAGAGAGCTTGAAAGGTCAGAGAGGTGCTACAGATACAGGCCAGCTTCGTGTGCTACTGTTCATATACCTGCTGGCTTTCTGAACAGTGTTTGATCTGAAGTATGTGTTCCTTCAAGTTCAAGCATACCTCAACCAGAGTATGTCTTGTAGTCAATGATCATTTAATATCATGACAAATTATAATTGACAGGTGCTTTCTATATACAGAGTAAAGATTTACATTCAGTGTTTCATATTAGTAAAAATGGTAATTACAGTTACAGCTTAGTAGATATCATACTACTTTTAAAGACAATTTTTAGGGGGAAAAGCTGTTTATTTATTTGTTTATTTCGAGATGGGGGTCTTCCATTGCCATTTCAGCCTTGTCTCAAATGCTGGAACTCAAGCTGTCTGCTTTCCACAGCCATCTGAGTCCCTGAGAGCCTCAGGAATGTACCAAACATCAGACAGAATATTTTTTAGTATATGAATTTTTGTCTGTTTTCAGAGAGGATTTGTAGACAGTTTGTTTCAATACTTTGACAATAGAATGTATTTGGCTTTAGTTGTGTTCAGAAGGCATTGGTGGCACTTTGTTTTACTACGTTAGTGAAAGGGTGAATTTTTATACTGTCTTATCTAGAGTTCTGCAGATACCTTGTACCCCTGCCTTAAATATGAGAACTGCAGATGGATCTTTTTGAGCCCTCAACTACCTCAGAAAGACACATAATAGGTCTGGGCCTTGCTGTTTCTAGATCTGACATTTCCTAGTAACAATCTGAGTAATAATCACATTATAAACACTGTGAATACTTGACGACTTTCTTTTATAGTTAGGCAGTCTGTCTAGGGGTTGGAACAGTTGTGTCAGCTGTCAGATGAAGCTCTGCCTCCCAGAGTTTCAAGCATCCAGGAAAGGTGGGATGCTGGCCTCAGTAGGGGAAGAGAAAGACTGCTGCATACTAAGTATGACAAAAACTCAGTGCGTCACCCTCTATAAACGAGTAGGATTCAGGGATGATGTTATTTACCTCTTGTTTATTGCGAATGGCATTTAATTCCAACCCGATTGCAGTGAGTTTATTTTCTCTTATCTCTGTAACCTGCTTCTGAATAAATCTTTGGTTTAAGTGAAATGTCACACCTTTCTTCAATAGAGGCCACTTATAATATGCCCAGCACCAAGTGGTTCATGTAAGTATAGATCTGGAGAGAAAGGATGGATAAAAGCTGCATGCTCTTTTTGTAACGTACTTTTCTCTTAGAGACTGGAAGTGTTGCCAGGGTCATGGTGGCACATGCCTTTAATTCCAGGACTCAGAAGGTAGAGGCAGGTGGTTTTCTATGCGTTTGAGGCCAGTGTGGTCTGTAAAGTGAGTTCCAAGACAGCCAGGGCTTCACAGGAAAATCCTGTCTCGAAAAAACAAACAAATAAACAAAAATAAAGAAGACTTACAGTCTGGGTCAGTTGTGTTTGTGTAAAAGAAGAATAAAAAAAAACAAAAACAAAAACAAATAAAAAACTCAGCAATTCATTGCATTTTCTAAAGCCCTGGGGCCTTAGGCTGTAGTACTAATTCCTTAAACTAGGCATTCTGCCTTACCATCTACTTCTTTAACACAGCTGTTTGTTTATGAACATATGTATGTATGCATCTATCTATCTATCTATCTATCTATCTATCTATCTATCTATCTATCTATCTATCTATCGGCAGGTTCTTCCTGTGTGGCTCTAGCTGGCCTGGTACTCACTATGCAGCTCAGATGGCCTGCTACCCTTGGCAGGCCTCCTGCTTCAGTCCAGGCGTGAGCCACCATGCCCAGATAAGAAGAGAACAAAAGAAACAGCCAGAGAAGATAAAAAAAAAAAGTGGTAAGAAGGTACTTGTGCTTAGAAGAAAATATAAAATTACCAGGGTTTCTGAGTGTGTGCGATTATAGTGTAGTGGAAAAACTGAAGGACCTTAGGTGATGATTGTGTGTTCCCCGCAGCCATAATTAATCTTCAGTACAGCAAAAGCTACAGATTGCTCTCTTGCTACAGTGGAGGTTTATGGGAAGTTTTTCAGGTCCCCCACCTCCCAGCGGGGGGAGGGCTGGGTTCTTAAATCAAAACTAGATACCACTGTGCTTGTTTGTTTTATCCTGGGGTATAAAGTGCTTTTCCTAGGACTGAAATATGAAAAGCGTTCAATAATCCTGAAGGACAAAGTGTCATCTGCTGCTGCCCCTCCAGAGCCCACAAGCTCTGGTAGAAAGGACCCTGGAAGAACATGATTATGTTGTCCTTTTGTCCCCAGGGTAAGTGTTTGGTTCCATGGATTTTAACCGCGACTGCTGAAGAGTTTCCCTGAAGTGTCCCTAAATCACCCATGCCTAGCACTGTACGCTGAAATGCCCACTCGTGAAATCTCAGGCAAAGCTGAGGACCAGAACCTCTGCTGGGCAGAATCTAATTTACAGGCTGGTGACAGTATGGGTGATTTTACTGTGTGCTCTCCCTGAAGGGCAAGCTGGGATGAGGAGATGCCCTGTTTGCTGTCAGCATCTCTGCTGCTTGGTCCAGTAGCGAGAAAGGTGGATTCTGCTGCTGGAAGTTCTGCCAAAACACAAGCGGTTCCAGACTCGGCAGCGTCCTCACCTCCTGCTCAGGCATTCTAATGAATTGTGATTTTATTTCCTCTTTGAATAAAAAATGAAATAAAAGGAGGACATAACTTCTCCTATAGATTTAAGGGAGAAAACAGACAGAGGGAAGAGTCCAGGCTGGACATGGTGCCCGACTAAACCAGATGAGTGGGAGGGAGAGCAAGAGAGGAGGACTAAGAAAGGTGGCCCAAGCCCAAAAGGCTCTTACAAAAGGATTGGACTGGGGAAGAAAAGCAGAAGCCCAGCCCCTAGGCGGGAGAGGTTTAGGGTAAGGGGCGGGTGAAAAGCTCTGAATGGGGCCATAGGTAGTGAGGGATGCTGGGAGAGGTGGGAGGGGCCATAGGTAGTGAGGGATGCTGGGAGAGCTGGGAGGGGCCACAGGTACTCGATAAAACTAGTCTTGGATTTGAGACCTAACCTTAAAGGGTAAGAGTGGTCTTGTGAATTTATTACAACTACATATGATTGCGTTTATGTGGCTTTGTATAACAGCTTGAGTAGACTATTATAATACATGATAGAAATGCATTAATAATTATGAATTCATAACAAATACTTGCATTACGCTTAGACTCTTGAGTCATTAGTTGTTTCTTCTATTTAAAAAAAAATCAGCTGGGCAGTGGTGGCGCAAATCTTTAATCCCAGCACTCGGGAGGCAGAGGAAGGCGGATTTCTGAGTTGAAGGCCAGCCTGGTCTACAGAGTGAGTTCCAGGATAGCCAGGGCTATACAGAGAAACCCTGTCTCAACAACAACAACAACAAAATCAAAATCTCTCTTTCAGCATTGGTCAAGAACATCTTCTTGTTTTACATTTTGAGCGTTTCACACCTATACTGGGTTCCTACATGTGAGTAGTATTTCACTTCACACCGTTGCTATAACAACGACGTGCACAACCCTTTTCCCCCCAGCTTCTCACAAGAACTTTACAACTTCTAAACTTACCAGTTCACCAATGAAACTGTTACTTGCTACATGACTTAAGAGTGTATAGTGTTGGTAAACTTCCTAATAGAGATGGTTATAGACACTCCCCTGTTTCAGAGGAGAAAGACTTTCTGAATGGCAGGTGGAAACTGAAATTTGCTCCTTGTTCCTCATCTCCTGGGCCCAGCACCTGAAAGCCTGCTGTCGGTACCCTTGTCCCATTTTGCACTTAAGAATGATAAGAGAGTTCGGACTTAAGCCGGACTCATGTGTATCCATCTTCCCACTTCCCACATTTATGAATCTTTGAGAAGGTATTTTTAAAGTGGGGAAGTTGAAGGACATTAGATGTCTTATCTAAACAGTTATAATAAAATTATAGTTCCCAAGGCCTTGGCTGCTAACCATCCCCGAGTGACCTGGGTTTGCAGCTGTGTACTCTGCCCCGGACAGGATCGTCTTTACCTTTGCTTCATACTTGGGACTCTGGACAAAGTTTGGCCTTTTTGTCTTCTCAGAGCGGCAATGCGGAAGGCTCTTTTTTAAAAAAGCCCCTACTGAGAAGAAAAGTTGGTCCTTCAGAGCCTCCGTGCACAGTAGTTGTAGCTTCTCCCAAACACTGCGGTTCCAGACAAATGTCCAAAAGTACACTAGAGAGAGCTAGGCAGTCAGTGGGAAACTGCAGCCCAATTCAGGTCCATGCTGGAAAAGCCAGCTAGACTGAGCCGAGGTGGCCAAGCCACCTACCATTGACACGTGCTGGCCTGAGAAACCTGCAGATGCATGTAAGAGTAGAAGGAACATTTTCCCAGAGCTGTGGTATGACTGAGGAATCCCCAGCTTATGAACTGGTAAGGTATTAAGTTTGAAAACCATAGAAGAGAAACAAAACTGGGTATAAAAAAACATAGAAAGAAATATTTAGTTTGAAAATAAGAAAATAAAGTCTCTAAAGGAAGGAAGGAGAGAGTCAAAAGAAAAGGTAATGACACACACTGCATCTGGACCCCATAGGATTTCGTTTCAATCTTTACGTGTCCTGTTTGATTCTCTTGAATTTTTCTAGTTCTCCAGGAGGTCGCCCTCTGTCATATCTGATCCATCTAACTCTGGAGGGGGTCCAGAGCTTATTCTCCTTTACTATGAACACAAAAGTAGAACCTTTCTCCCAAAGTAGAATGTCCTTGAGGCAGTAACCACAAAGACCTTTAGCTTGACTTCTCTCCCAGAGGAATAATGTAACCACAAAACCCAAAATCACATCCACTTTGATAATTAAAACAATTCAAAACAAATGAAGTAAGCTAAACAAGTACTGTATGAGCCTAGTCTTACCCTTCCTCTAATCCGTCTTGCAGGATATTTAATCCAGAATTCCCGTGGAGCCCACGTTCGAAGAAAATGAGTTATCCTGCAAGACGTCTTCAAGACTTTCCTAAAGCATTTTGTTCCTACAGTCTCCCTGTATCTCCTGTTGGAGGCAGCAGCTCTTCCTCTCTGCCTTCCTCCAGCTCACGGTCCTTGCACTGCAGGTCCTTGTACATCACCTCTGGGCCCAAACTCCCTGCACTGACCCCACTGACTCAGGCAAAGTCTGCATTACCTTCTATCTTTAAAAACAATTAAACCAAACTTAGAACTCTAACCTATGATGACCTGCTTGTAGGAAGCAGACACGTTTACTGCTTGGCTCTCTGCTTCAGAACAGCCACCTTGACTCTTTTCACAGCAGGGGAACTCAGAGCCCATGAGCTGAGCCTGCCTCTGTGTTTCTCCAAGATTTCCACGCGCCAGAGCCACGTGACTCCTCTCTGCTCACTGAGAAACCAATTCTCCCACTCCTAGACTTGTATCACCGTGTGCAATCCATCCGTGAATCCTACATTAATAGTGGACTCTCGCCTACCACGCTGGGTGTCATCTGTAGCGAGGCGCTTGCTCCTTGCCTGGAGCTGCAGCTCACAATATGCTCCAGAGATCAGCTACCACCAACAGATGTCTCACTCAGCCCCCAAGGCTAGCTTTGCCAAGCCTCCCAGTCTCACTCAGCTCCGCCAAGCCGCCAGACTGTGTTTTTCCCCCAAGAAAGCCACTCAGAGATGGAGAGGACTGAAAGATTGGAACGCTAGGTTACAGGCCATAGAGCGGCGGTTAGAGGAGTTTTTAATCAGAATAACAAATCTTCAGAAGAATCCAACCCGGAACCCACAGCAACAGCAGAAAATATATTTCCAGAAAAACAAACAAACAAACAAACAAACCCATAAAGGCTTGAGGAATCAGAACAGCAGCCCACAATATTCTGAGTTAAAAATCCAGATTCTGAGCCGGGCGGTGGTGGTGCACGCCTTTAATCCCAGCACTTGGGAGGTAGAGGCAGGCGGATTTCTGAGTTCGAGGCCAGCCTGGTCTACAGAGTGAGTTCCAGGACAGCCAGGGCTATAAAGACAAACTCTGTCTGGAAAAACAAAAACAAACAAAAAACAAAATCCAGATTCTGCTTAATGATTCTACCACAAAGTCATATCATGCAATAGATTATGTGTTTCATT